GGGTGAAAGAGAAGTTGTGTTCATCCCGGTGTCTGGCGTCCGGTAAGTTTAAATAGATGCAAACTGCTGTTACGACCAAGGGGTGCAGAAAGAGCACCGGCCAAGCAAACGTGAGGCCACAGCTCCAGGCGTGGCTCTGCACTGAGTGAGGATGTAGGCTCAGGCAACCCCCCTTGTGTCCTGAGACCTCGGTTTTCCCACTCTCTGCGGACATTGCCTGGCTCTGAAGCTCTCGGAGTCCGGCCTTGCTTGTCTGTTTCTAAAATCACATTAACTCTGCCTAGGGCTTGGGTCGTGAGGATTGGCCTCCAGCCCTGGGCCAAATGAGTGCTTTGTTGGAAGAGGCCAGAAACTCTGCTCCACCCGCGGATGCTTTGATGGAGACGCGAGCAAGCAGCTAGGGACCCAGGCATCTTAGAGAGTTTTGTAGGAAGTTCATCCCTGACTCTTATCAGAGGCAAGGAATCAGCTGCTCGTTGCCATGACTACGGGCAGCAGCACATCAGTGCCAGGCCTCTGATGAGCTGGAATGCAGGGAGGAGGAAGGCCTCAAGGAAGCCAGCACCCATGGCTCCCCCCTCCCTCTGTGAAGCCGAGTGTGCCGGCCCTTAACTCCCTGTCTCAGCTGTCCCCTGAAGATCTTGTCTTCTTTTAAGTATTTTTTTTTTTGACTCAACATTGAATAACTATGTGGTAAAGATGAGGCAGCTGTGGGCATTTTTTTTTTTCAGCAGACAGAAACGGGCCCTGAAAAGATGCAGAACTGGAAACGGGGAAGACGCATGGGTGGGGGCTGAGGCTGAGGTCTGGTTCCACTGAAGGGCTGTGGTGCTTCACCATCTCTTCCTCCTGTCAACTCGGCATCTTGATTTGTACGAGGGGGGCAGAGCCTAAGCCACGGCTTCCATATAGGATCAGCTGGCAGAATTCATCTCTTCATCCATCCATCCCTTCACCAGCCAACAGAGGCACCGTTGGACACTCTTTGATGATTTGGTAGTGGGGAGACCAGTAGCCCTACCTCGAGAACTCCCATCCTCGCCCAGAAGATGATCTGTTAAAGGACACACAAAAAAATTCTCGGTGAAAGGAGACTGAACTCAGCCAGCCCCTGTGGTTCCTACCACGGGTGAAGAGGGGACAGAGTGAGATGCAGAAGTCGGGGACAGCTCTCGGCGAAGGTGACCCTTGAGAGAGGACGAGGGGATGGCCAGACAAGCTGCTGCAGGAGCTACATGCCAGGTGCAGAGGACAGCAAGCACAAAGGCCCTGAGGCAGGAAAGCTTTGACCTAGTTGGGAAACAGTAAGAAGACCATATGGCCAGAACAATGGAAAAAGAGGGAGAGACACAGGAGGGGCGACCGAGGCCAGATCATACGGTGGCGTCTTTGGATGCTGTGCTTGATCTGACAAATGGCTATCTGGGGTGTTTCTTGAGCGAGTAGACTCCTGGGTCCACCCCTTTGAGACTCTCATTCCTGGTATCTACAACGGGTCCTAGGATCTCGTTCAGAAACATCATCGGGGAATCTTTGATATTGTGCCGAGCTTGGGAAACACAAGATTTTAAAGCTCACACTCTCCCCTCCAGTTCTAAGGAAGCTGAGCAGAGCTTGGGATGGCTCAGCACCTGGGTGCTTGCCGTACAGATGTGAGGACCTGAGTTCGATCCCCAGCAGCTGTGTAGGAAGCCGGCTGTAGTGACACACACTTAAAATCCCAGTTCTGGAAGGGTAGAGACAAGAAGATATTCAGAACTCACTGGACCTCGGCAAGCAAGCCCCAAGTCCCGGTGAGAGGCCCCATCTCAGAATGGCATCTGAGGTTGACCTCTGGCTTCCCCACGCATACTTGTGTATGCATGTGTGTGTATGTGTATACATAGACAGGTGGAGAGAGGGAGGCAGGGAGAAGCTCACACACAGACAGACAGACAGACAGACAGACACACACACACACACACACACACACACACACACACACACACACACACACAATGTTAGGATGTCTGAAATAAGGTCTTGAATGTTCTGTCCTGGAGGACCCTGTTCTTCTCTTCAACACTTCCTGTAGAATTTATTATATTTCTGTTTGTTTGACTGTAGATTTCCCAGTGGGGTACCCCAGTCCAGAAAGCTGAAACTAGTACTGTTGAAGGAAAAGAGCAGGCTAGCACATCCCCCCGTGAACAATTCCAGAAATTTCACTGCGAAGACCTTATCTCTGATCTTACCTCTTGCCATCCCTGCATGTCCTGAGGTCTTTGAATTTGAGTCCTCCTGCCTGGTACATCTCTCCTCTTTCTGTAGATACCTGTGCAGGAGGGATGATGCATTATTGTGCAAAAAAAAAAAAATCACTCCCAATCCTCTAGGCTAAAAACAAACACAACAAGCAGTTGTGTTTCACGGTTTCTATGAGTTGAGAATATGGCTGTGTAGTTCTTGCTCAGCACATTTCATGAGGTTGTCATCAGATGCCACAAGGACTGTGTCCTCAGCCAAAAGCTTGTCCTGTGCTAGGGGGCTCGTATCCATGTGCTCGCTCACATGGCTGGATGTTGGTGATGGCTGTTGGCAGCAGACCTCTCCGTGGGGCTGAGTGTTCTTACAACATGACAGATATGGTCCTTAGAATAATCAATCAGGGAGAGCAAGGGAAACATTGCCTGATGATGTAGTTTGAAAGTCATACACTGCTGGGCAGAGGTGGCACATGCCTTTAATCCCTGCATTCAGGAGGAAGAGACAGGTGGATCTCTGTGAGTTTGAGGCCAGCCTGGAATACAGAGCCAATGTTGGGGCTACATGGTGAAACCCTGACTTAAAAAAAAAAAAAAGTCATATATGATCACTTCTACAATTTTACTCATGGCAAATGAGTCATTAAATCCATCCAATATTCCAGAGAAGAGAATATGGCTGGCAATAGTATCAATCAATCTGTGAATACATTTTAGGTCACCTCATTCTGCACATTCCCTGTCCCTGTTGCTCATCAAAGGGGTCTTCTCTGACTCTATGGAGTCATAGGCACTCTCCCACTTTCCTGGCCCTCTGTGCTACTCTATCCTCATCATAATTGGTCACATTCAATAAGTCACATTTTTCATACTTAAGTGATAATGATCTTCTCTGCCATCTGGACATAAACTTCATGGTCACAGTAGCATCCCTGATTGGGTCACTGCCTCCCCACACTGACAACCAGCACTGAGGTTTGGAGATAATGAATTTGGGTTAGCTTGGACCAGGCAGGAGGCACCCTTGATTAGAATCTCCATTCCTCCTTGGCTGGCAGCAACGCCCAGCTCTGCTTCTGAAGATGTGCCAATCAGTGACTGGCAGAGACAAATGTGTTGTTCTGCCCTTGCTTCCCCATTGACTGGGCTTGGCTCACTCCCTGGAAACCCTAAGGATCAGGGAACTTATCAGATGCATTCCTTGTGAGTCATAAAACCAGCAGGAGCCTGGTGCAGAAGAGCTGATGCCCTTCCATCTATCCATGCTGGACCCGAAGTCTGAAAGTAGAATGAACTAAAACAGACACAGGACCCTCAAGCTCCTGGCTCCTCTTGGTTTGGATCCAGGGCTTTGAGTAACAGGATCCGCAAAGACTGAGTGACTAGGCAACTTCTTGTCCCTTCCTGAGACTCAACTAGCCGAGCACATTAGTGACTCCCACGTGTTGTTTGGCAGGAGGGAACCTTAAGCCTTCATGGGAATTGCTATTCCAAGTAGGTGACCTCACTTCTGCAAGAGGCACCAGACTGGCTGATTTGCAAGAAAGTGAATGCAAGATAAAAAGAATTTTTTTTCCTAGATCTTTTGGTTGGCCTAAGTTATCTTTGTCCTCATGGCAAATCAACAGTCTAGGGACTGGGGGCGTTCTCTGTTTTACAGTTGAGGGACTTGGAACTCAGGAGTCCAGTGGCTGGCTGTAGGTACTACAGATGCTGAATGGAGAAGGCAGTGTCCAAATTCAAGTATCCAATCGCCCCTCCCACCTGCCTGCATATCAAGTAAGAATATTATCAAAGACCACAGTGGATCCCTGGAACCTAGGACACACCATGTTTCTTCCTTTACACCTGAACCTATGAAAAGGTTATATTTATAAATTAGGTATCACATGAGATGAACAATGATAATGGAGAAATAACATTCTGTAAGTGTGACTTCGCTCTTAAAAATATCGTACTGTGCTTTTACCGTCTCATAAAATGAAAACACCGATGTCTTTCCTTTGGTGTATTCAAATGTCCAGCATCATTCTCTTGCACCTTAGGGCCATTATTACGTACCAAAGGGGTGACTTGGACACAGCGCTCTAGTACTATGTCAGTTAATCTGCTAAAGATAACTACTAAGTGATTCACAGTTGGGTAGCATATACAGCATGGATATGTTGAGTAAGAGGATGGTTCATGTCCCAAGCAGGAGACAGCAGGACAGTGCAAAGTTCCACTGGACTACTCAGAGAAGTAAGGGTTTATACTTATGATATGTTTATGGAATTTTTCCATTTAATATTTTTGGAGCTTGGCTGACTACTGGTTTATGGGGGAAAAACTACAGGTAAGAGAGGACAGAGAAATAGAGTCTAAAAAAAAAAAAAAGAGTGGACAAAGGGGGTTAAACTACTCCTTCCATGCTTCAGTTTCTATCATCTTGAAAGAAGATGTGAGCAGCTTAACCTACTCCATTTCTCTCTTATAAAATCATTGAAGTTCCAATGTCTCTTCTCCTCCAAGTGGCTTCAACTTTCAGAGTACATGGCATTCAAAGTCACTGAGGCAGAAAGAGAGAAAGGTGGAGAGGATGCGTGGATCTTGGCTGCCTTGAACTGGAAACGGCCCTCCACTCCACTCACAGAGAAAAGGCCAGTGATAATCTCATGATCTCAGTCTAGCAAGGAGGCTAGAAAACCTCAGGTCTGAATATTTAATGAAATGACTCCAAACACTAACACTTCTACCTTCTTATTTCTTCCCCTGCAGGACAGAGCCCCAAAGCAGTCTCTTGGTCCCAGCCCAGGATGGACCTTCAGAGAAGCTGGGCCAACATCTGGCCACTGAGACCTTTGGTACCAACAGCTGGGGAAGAGAAAAGACCTGCAGGGAGCTGGGTCCTGCCAGAGCACACAGGTGAGATGCGGCACCGCCTTTTGAGCCCACAGTTAGTTCAAGCTGAATGTGTGAAAACCAAGTTTGCCTTTCTGACCCCTTCTCACATTCAAGTTTCTCTCTGAGAGCTTGTCATGTGCTGAAAAAAATGTTTTCTGTAGTGGGCCAGTGTTTTAGTTTTGTGGACCCAGTGGCTGTGGTCACAACTATTTAGATTCAGGCACTGAATCTAATACAGTACAGGAGTTCTAATGACAACGTATTACTAAGAGAAGGGGGCAAGCTAGACTCGGCTGTGTGAGTTAGATTTCCATTCATGTGACTTAGGAAAACAAGATGAAGAAAGGTACTTTTTGGCTCACGGTTTCAGAGATTTTGCTCCAAAGTCACTTGGTTCTGTTTTTTTTCTGTGACTGTGTATGGTGATGCAGGATGAAGAGGAAAGGAGGGAGGGAGGGAGAGGAAGGAGAGAGAGATAATGGGAGGGGGCACCTTCACATCTTCCCTAGTCGGCCCTCTCCCCTTTTCTACCTTTGTTCCTTCCAAGCTCATCAAATATTGCACCTTTGCATTCAGGGCAGGTCTTCCCACTTTATTTGATGTTCCATGTGTAATCATCTCTGGAACACCCTCACAGACACACCCAGGAGTATACTTTCCCTGTCTCCCAGGCATCACTCAATCCTGTCAAGTTGATATTCTAGCTTAACCAGCACTTGGGTCATTGGTCATGGTGAGACCCTCACATTTAGTGATAGAGTTGCTTCTCGACATACTGGTTCTATGAGCCTCTGACTCTCAAATAATAAACCCAACCCATATTTGTGTCCTGAGTTTCGGACCTTTGCCCTCGTTCCTTAACCCAGCTATTCAGCCACTGCCTTTTTGGTCCCTGATAGATGACAGGTACTGTACTAGACACTGGTAAGTGGCATTTTACTTAGGCTCATAAAGGTGACCAGTAAATTAAAACAGTGAAGTCTTAAACTCTAGCTGGGGACAGCAAGATAGCACAGGATGTGAAGATGCTTGCTGACAAGTCTGGTGACCAGGAGTACATCCCCAGGTCCTGCATGGTAGAAGGGACAAGCCTGGTGACCAGGGGTACAGCCCCAGGTCCTGTATGGTAGAAGGAAAGAACCAACTCCTGTAAGTTGCCTTCTGATCTCAGCATGTGTGCCATGACACATGTACATGTATTCCTCTACACAGACATGTTAATAATGAAAAACTAAATGAAGAAACTCCAGTCTTTTTAATACTAAACTAAGCCTACAGTTGATAATGGAGGGGCCAATGCACTCTCTACCTCCTGGTTTTTAATTTTCTACCTTACATCCATAGAGCCCAGTCCATTATTGTCTCATCTGAACATACTCATGACACCATCATATCTATGTGCACGCATATGCGAGTGTGTGTGCATGTGTGTATATGTGAGTGTGTGTGCCTGTGTGTATGTGCATGGGTGTGAGAATGTGTGCACATGTGTGCATGTGCATGAGCTTATGTGTGAGAGTGTGTGTAGGTACACCTTGGGGTAGTGCATGGGTGTGTGGAAATCAGGCACAGCTCACCTTGTTTTCTATGACAGGGTCTCTCACAAGGATCCAGGGCTCACCGATTAGGTTAGGCTGGCTGGCTAGCGAGCCCCAGATAGCTCTGTCTCCATCATCTTTTGCTTTGATCGTAAGCACACACCATAAATTTTGTTTTTGTTTGTTGTTTGTTTGTTTAATGTAGGTGGTATATTTGGAACTCTGGTCCACACCTCAGGTAAACAACTGTAAATGGAGATGTGGAAATCTCCTTCTGATGGTGGAGGGGAGCATTGATGCAGACCAGGCAAGTGTGGTAGTCTTTGCACTACTCACTAGAGTGCCTGACAGAAACAGAGCACGGGAGGCTAGGTTTCTTTTGGCTCGGGGCTTCAGGGGTATTTCTAGTGATTGTGGTGAGTAAAGTCTAAAAGAATTGCCCCTCGGTGGCAGTTAGGGTATGAGGTGATAGCAGTTGACCAGGACAGAGTGCAGAGAGAAAGAGCCAGATCAGAACCAGGGTGGGTGTAACCTTCAAAGACCCACCTCCAATGACCTACTTCCGTCATCCAGGCTCCAATTCCTCAACCTCACGCGGCCTCCCCAAAATAGCTGCACCAGCCTGGGAAGCAGGGTTCAGACATGAGCTGTGGGGGACATTTCGGAGTCAAACCTTAACGGGTACCTGTGGGTCCTGGCAGTAGGCGTGGCACATAGGAGGTCCTCAAAAAAGAAAGAAAGAAAGAGAGAGAGAGAGAGAGAGAGAGAGAGAGAGAGAGAGAGAGAGAGAGAGAGAGAAAGAAAGAAAGAAAGAAAGAAAGAAAGAAAGAAAGAAAGAAATAAGAAAAATTCTGGTTTAGAGCATCAGAGAGCCAGGGCAGAAGATTCTGGGAAAGAAAATCTAAAGGAAAAAAAATGGTGATGCCGTGTTATCAACTGAGCCATACAGTGTGTCTGGGCCTCTTGTCTTCTTCTGTCTGTGACTGATCCTCTGTGGAGTTAAAAGCCGCAGTAATGATGATAATTAATAACTATCATATTAGTGATAAGAAAAGTCATACTGATTATACTTAATGACAGGGACACACTCTGAAAAGTCTGTCCTCAGCAGACATTGTTGTCCAAACACCTGAGAGGGGACTTCCACAAACCCGGAGGCTGTTACCCAGTCTACGCCTAAGCTGTGTGTCACCTCTGCACATTCACACTGTATCCTGCAGCTCTGAGGGCAGTGGTGAATGCGACAGCCCAGGTCCACTCAAGCACAAGAGCCAACAGTGAAATCAAGACAGGAAGCAGACCCCAAAGTGGAAAGGCTTCTGCCTGAAGCAAGCATTTCTCTATCCTCCGATGACAGAGTGACTAGATAGCCCGGCCCTCTGTTAGCGGGACCAGGCTCTAGGATCCACACATAGTTGCTCACACTGTGTCTGACCTGACTGCAAACACAGTAGATTGCCCCCTCCAGCATCACCACACGTGCATGAGTGACACCCTGTGTTGCAAGACCATCAGTCAATGGGAGGTTTTTCAGCTCCATTATCGAACTAATGGGACAACCATCTCATCGACTGGAATGATGTTACCTGGCATGGGACTGTAACCTGGCGTGCTTGCTGTGAATGTACTCAGTGCCAGGCCAAGGCAGGTGGCAGCAAATTTATGCCCCAGGTACCTGGTTTAATTCCTACCTCTTAGATGAGGACCGTACAAGTTAGAAAAAAATCTCTGAGCTAGGAAGGGAACTGCAGTGCAGATCCAGGTCTACGAGTTTCTGGAACAATCATTTCTTACTGCTATTTTCTTCACCTTTGACCTCTGCAGATTCAGCCGCTGTAGGTGGAACCATCACATCCTCAACCACTGCACATTTTAAAACTATACATGTAACTGAGTGGTTGTCCTCATCCACATGTGCTTAGACTCTGCATATGTATTCTCTGCCTCTTCCACAGTGTGGACTCAGCCACTTGAACTCACTGTCTACCCCTGAAGCAGCTGCGTCACTGACCACTGTAACTGACTATCACACATGGAACTCCAGGGTATACAAACACTGTGTACCCAACCCCTGCCCGTAACACTAACAACCATGTGGGAAATGTGGGACTACGTGTATGAAGCCTTTGGGACATATCACCTCACAGACTTCAGGTCTACTGAATTTAAAGACTTATCAATTTTACCCTATTATTTTAAGCTGAGTCCAGCACACTGGTTCTCAGACTTTAGGGTTATAGTTGTTAGACTTCTTTGCAGTTTTATTCATTTTTAATTTTTTTTAAAATTTTTTTATTTTTTACTCTTAGGGGTCCTGCCACCCAGCTCCCAAATAAATACACAGAGACTTATTCTTACTTAGGAATGCCTGGCCTTAGCTTGACTGTTTCTAGCCATCTTTTCTAATGAAATTATCCTGTTCCTCTTTTTTTTTTTTTTTTTTTTTTTTTTTTTTTTTTTTTTGGTTTTTTTCGAGACAGGGTTTCTCTGTGTAGCTTTGCGCCTTTCCTGGAACTCGCTTTGGAGACCAGGCTGGCCTCGAACTCACAGAGATCCGCCTGGCTCTGCCTCCCGAGTGCTGGGATTAAAGGCGTGCGCCACCACCGCCCGGCTTCCTGTTCCTCTTTAACTACATTTTGCCTCTGGGCTTTTTACCTTTCTTTATTCTATATGTCTTTCTTCCCTTCTTACCCCGTGGCTGACTGTGTGGCTGTGTGGCTGTGTGGCTGTGTGGCTGTGTGGCTGGGTGGCTGGGTGGCTGGGTGGCTGGGTGGCTGGGTGGCTGGGTGGCTGGGTGGCTGTGTGGCTGGGTGGCTGTGTGGCTGTGTGGCTGGGTGGCTGTGTGGCTGTGTGGCTGGGTGGCTGGGTGGCTGGGTGGCCGGGTGGCTGTGTGGCTGTGTGGCTGGGTGGCTGGGTGGCTGGGTGGCTGGGTGGCTGGGTGGCTGTGTGGCTGTGTGGCTGGGTGGCTGTGTGGCTGGGTGGCTGTGTGGCTGGGTGGCTGGGTGGCTGGGTGGCTGGGTGGCTGGGTGGCTATGTGGCTGGGTGGCTGTGTGGCTGTGTGGCTGGGTGGCTGGGTGGCTGTGTGGCTGTGTGGTTGTGTGGCTGTGTGGCTATGTGGCTGTGTGGCTGTGTGGCTGTGTGGCTGTGTGGCTGGGTGGCTGGGTGGCTATGTGGCTGGGTGGCTATGTGGCTGGGTGGCTGGCCCCTGGTGTCCTCCTCTTCTTCACCTTTTCTTGCTCCTCCCTCCTCCCTCTAGAGTTCTCCTTCTATTTTTCTCTCTCTCCCTGGCCCCACCTACTTCTCTCTCCTGCCTAGCTATTGGCCATTCAACTCTTTATTAGATGTTTAGGCAGGCAAAGTAACACAGCTTCACAGAGTTAAACAAATAAATCATAAAAGAATGAAACACATCTTTGCATCATTAAACAAATGTTCCACAGCATCAACGAATGTAACACATCTTAAACTAATATTCCATGATAGCTCTTGGTCCTAACAATGGATTCTTTCCTCATTTTTGACACACTTTTAAACTCCCCACCCCACCCCAAATTCCCAGCAGATGTGCCCTTATGAAACAAGATGACTCAGCATGCAGCCAGGCTCCTTCATCTGTCACTTGGTCATTTGGCAAATGCTCACTGGGTTCTTGCTGGGAGTCAAGCACTCTTTGGAGAAAGAAAGTTGGAAGTTGCCCACTGTGCCTTTAAAAACAGCTGGCTCATTTTTGGATGGTCTATTATGCTTTGTGCCTTATTATAACATGTAGGTATACTTCAGTAGCCAGGATTTGATTCTTATGATGTTTATTTTTAACTTTCTGAAAGTGAATCTCTTAAAAATTATATATATCCATTTGTTGGTGGGGAAGAGGCCTTACCATACATTCTAATTCCTCATCATCTCTTCTGCCAACCTTGATGATCCAGATTCTTCAAATGGAATGAAATACGACGAAGTTTTGTGATGTTCTATTGAGTTGGGCCACTAGCTGCTCCAGTGGCTGTAGAAGACAGCTGGGGCTCTGAGGTCACAGGGTTCAAGTCCCAGCTTCAATGATTTCCTGGCTGTGTGGCCAACAATAAGTCAGCTCAACTCTCTGGACCTTATTTTCTTCACCTGTGAAATGAAATAACAAGATTCGTCCTGGTGTCCTAGAGAGGGGCTTTCTCAACTGAGTGCTCTGCCTTGTCACTACAAAGACCTGAGTTCACTCCCAGGGGGCAGGTTTAAAAAAAAGAAGAAAAAGAAAAAGAAAAAGAAAATCAAGGTATGGCAGCCCACACGTGTGACCCCAGCGCTGGGGAAGTGGAGTCAGGAGGTCCCTGAGAGTCACTGGTCAGTCAGTCTCATCTACTTGGTCAGCTCCAGGCCAGTGAGAGATCCTGTCTCAAAAAAAAAAAAAAAAAAGTGGCTGGCACCTAATAAATGAAACCCAAAGTTGTCCTCTGGCCTCCAAACCCAGTGCCTTCTAAATATTTTATGTCAAAAGATATAAAAATTCTTGGTACATAATAATATATACCAGGACTAGTTTTGTTGCTACTAAATTAATAAAAATAATACTAGTTGTTCCAATAAAGGCCAACTGAGCTCACGTTTCCATTCTCAAACAGATTTCAATCCATAGCTGTCTCTCTTTGCTGTAGGATAGTGTTCTCTCTCTCTCTCTCTCTCTCTCTCTCTCTCTCTCTCTCTCTCTCTCTCTCTCTCTCTCTCTCATCCCTGGAGCCTGCCCCAGTTATACAAGATGATAACATGACTTCATTTGACTGCAGCCCTGAGCGTTTGAATTTAATTGAATGGGAAATAATTATTCCTGAAGAGCGAGGTTTCTGAGGTTCCGTGAAGAGATGTAAGATATGTATCTTGTTACATTAGACCCACGCAAATACACTTCTAATAATCAGCTTCTACTCAACACACCTTCTGCCTCCTGTGAAATTTACAGCAGGAAGTGTAGACGGGACGGTTTGGGGAGGGAGCGGGCTGAACTGCCAATTCATTATTTTTTAAAGTGATTTATTTACCGAGGTGAGCCATTTGCAAATTCAATAATAAATCTATTAAGGGGCAGTTAACCTCTATAAACCTTGTTTTAAATAATCAATTGGCATTTGGGTAACTACAGTGTCTGTCTCATTAGGTGGGCATTAAGTCCTTATTTAAGACATTTAATCTGAGGTGTGACCGAATCAGCCATGAGGTGGCAATCAGATGCTCACCATGGGCCCGTGAGTCGCCAAGGAGCTGGCTCCTCTCCCTTTCTCTGGCTGTGACAGCCCGGACCAGGGAGCCAAGGGACCCTCTCATGCGTGCCTTCTCCTTTCCCACAGTGCCTCTCAAGACAGGGACCTGACCCCACCACCTTCCTCCAGGGGGAAAAAGAAAAAGAAGAAATCGACCAGGAAGAAGAGAAGGAGGTGAGGGTCCTGATGTCGGATGAAACTTCAAAGACTCAGAGGCAGGGGAAGGAACAGAACAGGGGGAATAACGCTTTAGAGTCTGCCAGTGACTCCAGCTCGGGTGCAAATCCCTTCTGTGCCTCTTAGTACATGTGTGACCCTGGGCCTCACCTTTCTGCGCCTTTTGTTCCCCTGGTTGGTATTATTATAGCAATAATACCAACCTCCTGGTGAGCAATAGAAGAGAAATGACTGGGTATGGTGGCTCGTGCCGGTAATAACAGCACTTAGGAGTCTGAGGCAGGAGGATTGCTGTGAGTCTGAGGCCAGCCTGGGTGCCTTCTAGGTCAGCCTGAGCTACAGAGTGAGACTCTCTGTATCACAAAAAAAAAGGAAGAGGAGGAGGGAAATATGGAGGCAGCTGACACAGTGTTCAGCAATTGTGTGTGACCAATTAATAAAGAGCCGTGATCACCATGGATGCTGAACCTGAGAGACTGAAACTCACAGAGTGCAGAGGCTTTGTGCCAAACACCTTGCTACCCACCTTCCTTTCACTTCCAGCCACGTTCTGCCAGGCAAGCTTTATTATGCCCATTTCCGAGATGGAAAGATAAAAAAAAAAAAAGCTCATAGGATGGGATGTCAGAATCTGCCCTGGATTTGATTCCCAGGACTCCTCTCTAGAGCCAGGGTTAACGTTTTATATTGATACCAGCTCGTGGCTCTTTTGAGCTCCTTGAATGTCTTTCTACACATAACTCTTTCAAGACGTTTTCACGCTGAAAAATATTCCCAGAGTCCCTCGTAAAAACCTTGTCTAGGGTCCTGGCTCCCGGGGAGCCAGGGAATCACACCCAGGCAGCGCTTATAGGAGCCTGCAGGGGGCAGCAGAGAGCAACGTCTGGGCGGCCCAGGTTTGCAGGGGTTTTCTCCATCACACCTACTCAGTCCACCTCTTAAGGAGGGACCCAAGTAGGACTCGGGGTCGTGCGGGGTGACACCCCCACTTTCCAGCTATTGTCAGGAAGGGGGTGGGCTCGGGGTGAGTTGAGTTCCCGATTTTAGAAGTGTACGGAACTTAGAGGAGGACCCAGCGCGCCGTGGGATTATCCCTAATTATCCCTCCAGCAAGTGTCCCCTGAGCGAGAGAGCCTGGGGACAGTTGCGGTTCCTCAAGTGTTGAGTTGTTCCTCATCCGTTTTTCTCTTTGCTGATCTGTTTTGCTGAGCCTGCCAAGTTTTGTTTTCAGAGAACAAAGTTAGCGTGTACTCTTTAAAAACTGGGATATTTCATACGAAAATACGGGTTTCTGGAGCCTTCTGTGGAAAAGGCAGATGCTGCGGGAGGCTGTGTATGTAATAGTTTAGTGGCAGAAGGCGACCTTGGCGGGTTGGAGCCAAGGGGCACCGCAGAGTCACACCATGCAGCAGAGCTCAACACGGGAGGTTTTTATTGGGTAGAGGTGCAGAGGCGGCCTCTGAGCGAGAGCAGAGTGGAAGTGGGAACGAGAAGGGCTTGCCTTTTATAAGAGGATACGGACGCATGCGCATAGGGAGAGTGTTCTCAGTGGCTGTAGCAACTACAGTGTCACATCTTGGCTGCCGCTGCTGCTGAGTCTGCCCTGCTAGGTCCCTGAGAGCAGCGGGCCAGTGTGAATGCCCGAGTGCTAACAGGCTGGGCCTGCATTCTCACACGGAACCCCACCTCCCCATCTGAGAGGCCGCTGCTTGGTCTCTGGCTCTCCTCAGTCCTCACCGCTCCCTACTGTCTTCCAGCCAGCCCGCTTCATTCATCTACCTCATGAGAGAGGCTCCTGCTGGCCCTGAGTTTGCAGCCTCAGTTTCCAGCCCAAGCCTGCTGTCTCTGTGAGGAAATAAACCCGAGAGACAAGCTGTGATCCTCCCAGAGGGCTTGTGAGTTGCTGGTCAAGAGTCAAGATGGGAATTCAGGTCACCCTAGCGTCAGGCTGAGTCATCACCATGGTCCTAGAGAGGGTGACTGTTCCCCAGGTGCCTCTTTGGTGGCTGCACCCATGCTGTGACTTCAGGGACAGAAGCTTCCCAAGGAGACAGCAGAGACCGGACCAAGGAATATGGGAGGGGCGGAGCTTGTCGGGAAAGCCACAGAGGAGACCAAGGAAGCCTTTCCAATTTAACTAAGAGGGTAGCTGTGCTGTGATAATGAAACAAACCAGGAAACAGAGAGAACTCTGATCGAATCTCAGACCATCCATGTCTTGGCTGTGTGTCTTTGAGCAGGCCACTTTACTGATCTGAATCTCACTTTTTTTTTTTTTCTGAAAACGAAAGCAAAGCAATTATATCAAACCTAAGAAAGATTAAACGAGGTCAGGCACGTAACATCTAACACAAATGTAAACTACTAGCAGCATGGGGATGGTCCCTGAACATGGTCCCCAGAAGAGCCGAGACCTCGTATAAAGACCGAAAAGGGACCCGTAGCAACGTGTCTCCCTCCCCACAGGTCCCCATCTTACAGCCCATCACCAGTCAAGAAGAAGAAGAAGAAAAGTTCCAAGAAGCATAAGAGACACAGGTACTGTCCTTCCTCCTCCACAGACAGGGACACCCCAGGGGCAGCAGGGGTCAGGGCCCCGGGAAGAACTTCAAATCGTCTATGTAGCACACTCGCTTTATCCCAGTTTTCTCACTGATTTGCGTCAGTGTTGAGTAAGGACTCTTGGGGGGAGAAATAGACCCATTAAATCTCACTTGGACTAGAATAGGGAGCTGATTAGAAGGAAGCAGGAGGGTTTGGGGGACCTGCCCGGCCTAGAAGAGGGGCTGGGAATCAGGAGTGAAAAACTGAGGGACCCAGGCAGTTCCCCCGGCTTCCTGGTCCTTGGGGGGAAGAGCCTGTGTCCTGTCCCATTTCTGCCACATCACAGGCCAAGCCAGAAGCCGAAAATGATCTCTTCATTATTATTCGGAAGTGTCAGGAAAAGGCCTGTGAGTGGTTCCAGCTGTGTCCTAGAGGGCAGGGTCGTGTTGAAGAACATGACATCTAGGGATTCTTCACCTTGGATGGGGAACAGGGAGAGTCACAGAAAGGCCTCTTATGATTTGGACTCTCAGTCCAGGTGTTTACTATACACACACATACATGCACACATGCACACACACATACTTATTTACACACATCCATGCACACACACACACAAACATATACACACATGCAGGCACATATTCACACATGTACATATATACACATATCCATACACACATACATATATACACACATGCATGCACACACAGGAGTCAAATGCACATGCGTATTTACAGGGGGGGAAAGACTGGCAGCCAGTGTGGCCAGTGGGCCAAGCCAACAAGTTTAATTGAGAAATACTGCAATACAAAATTTCCATGGTACCATTCTTCTGCAAAGAAATTTCCGTCTTCACGGAGCCACTTCCCACGGGCCACCGTCAGTCAGCTCGGAGGAACTCTGTGTCCATGGGACAGTCAGCCTGCTCCACTCTGTACATCGTCTAAGCCTTGCAGTTGGCTGTGGATTTTAGGGAAAGAGTGACTTGTGATTTATTCTTGTTTATCCACATCTTCCAATGCCCCTACATGGTTTAGCTGTGTATGGTTACCAAAGGTCAGAGGTCATTTGGGTTTTCCTCATCTTCAAAGTGGCACCAAATAAGAGTTATCTCAGTCCATGGGTTTTGGACACATTGCTAGAACGGTCTCAAACTCAGTTTGGTCCGGCTGGCTACATCCACCACCTGTCTAGAGTTGTGAGTGATTAGTGAGATGTGGTTAATTTAGAGTCGTAAATCATTCCTACCATGGAGCCCGATGCTAAGGCAAGGGCATGCTCATGAGTGTAGATGGACACTCGTCACCTGCCTGTGTTGAGCAGGTGGTCCCAGTGTGGGGGACTTTACCCTGCCTCGATCTCAGCCAGGTGGTTTCTCACTCAAGGCCTGTAATTCCAGCTACTTATGAGTCTGAGGCAAGAAGGCCACACGTTCAAAGCTAGCCTGGGCAATTTAGTGAGACCCTGGAGAGAGAGGAAGGAAAGGGAGAATGGGAATGAATACTCTGGCTCTTCCTAACACCTCCTCCCAGGCACCCCCTTCCCCCTTCCGAGTCTGTGTTCATGAAATGTTTGGTTCATAGCAGCTGTTGGTTTTGGAGGTGGCAGCTGGCAGTGGAGACGCGTTGGGCCTTTCCTTCTCTTAATATCATGGTTTGAGACCCTTTTAAAAACTTCACTTTCACCTCTATTCACACTCAAGATTCCAAACCCCAGAAATAAAACAGTGAGCAAAACCCAACTATGGCTTTCGAATTGTTCCCATCCGCTGGGTCAACGGGGATTACAGGGTGGAGAGTTCGGGGCTCCACCAAGGAGGAGCTCAGTAGCTCAGCCTGCTGGACCCAGAAACTGCTGCAAACTGCTGTGGGGAGAGCAGGAGACGGGGAGCCTGGGGGAGGGGGAGATGACAGAGGTGACCAGGCAATAAGTTCTGACCCTCACTGCCCTCCATAGTGCGCAACAGGGATGGACAGAAAGAGGGTGTATACGCCCAGAGCTTAGTGCAGAGCCCGATGCATAGCAGGGGTTCTGCATGTGGAGGAGGGAGGGGGCAGGAGGAGGAGGGGGAGAAGGAGGGGGGAGGAAGAATATGAGAAAGAGAAAGAGGAGAAATCTACAACCAAGGCTAGTGGCGAGAGGACTTGGGGAGCACAGAGAACTTTCCCGTGCCTCCCGCTCCGGCTTCATCTGGGAGAGGTTTGCTGACAATTTTTCATGTGCGTTGGTGGCTTTGACCTGAACCTCAGTACACAAGGCAGGCAGCATTTCCCATGTGGGCTTCGTGTTCTTCAAAATCTGATGGGGGGAGGAGGTTCGGTTAGGAGTCCCAAGTCCTGACGGGCAAGAGCCCATCGCCCTAAAGCATCGTCCAGGAAGAACTACTCAGACTCACCTGTGTTTATTCTCTCCACTCCCCACCCCTTCTCTCCAATCCCTACCCCCCCACCTCTGTCTTCCCTCCTTCTCCCTTTCCTTCAAATCAGGTCTTTTTCCAAGAAGAGGAGACACAGGTAAGTCTCTCGCTGCTTCTGGCGGCTTACTCAGCCTTCTGCTTCAGCAGGCTTGCTCTGGACGGATGCCCGGGTGGGCTTCCATCCCTGTGTTCCCTTCTGCCTTCCTGAGCCTCAGTTCCCTCAAACAATGAAAGCCTGGGTTGGTTTCCCAGAACCGTTTAGAGCCAGCTTCGTGGCTGTGCAATGCCCTTGGACCAACCTCTGCCCAGAAATTGGAAGTCAAGGCTCTTAGGAGACACGGGCGCCATTACTCCACCACTAACTTTCTTACATCTGGGCAAGGGATAGAGAACATGGCAGTAGCAACATGAAGCCCCACCACTCCACCAGGGACTCATGCGAAGTGGGCCCTATGCTTAGCTCTTTCCGCCACCCACCTCAACCTTCAGCAGTGGGTTGTGTTTGTGGTTCCCATTTGGCAGATTGGGAAACTGAGACTAAGACAGGAGAGACCAGGACCACAGCCAAAAAGTTTAGAGCCAAATCGGTCAGCTAAGGGCTGTTTACAGGTGATGGTGGCTTCTTCAGGAGTTCCAGCCGTATCTAGAGCAGTTCAGAGAAAGCAAAGCCTCCATGCGTTCATTGATGAGCAAACTGTCATTCCCAGTATCACTGGCCACCAGGTAAGAACCATCCCGTTGGCCACACAGCTTTGGCTGTGACTTCCCCCTGCCTCGTTGAGGCGAGCGGTCTCAGAGAGAGCGTGTCACTTGTCTGATGTCACTCACCTGAGCAGCAGAGGTGGGACTCAGACTTGGTGTGGTGACATCATAAGATGAAAGTAATGCCCCACCGCTCCCAGGACCTCAGTAGACAGCAATGGGTTTTTGGTGAACCTGTGAAGCTAGTGTGGCTTGAGCCAGCAGGCTCCCTTTCTCAGATTTCTGGTGGTCTGCACCGGGGTCCTGGCTCATCGCTGCTCATTCTATCCACGCCCCAGGGCTCTGGTACTCGAATACTCATGGGCAGAATGTTTCCTAATCTACCAAACCCGACCTGCCTTCATCTATCCCTCTGGCTGTTGTACCCCCTTCTAAACTGATTGACCAGCGGTCACAGAGGACCACGCTCAGGCCCATACCCCAGCTCGGCTGTGTGATCTCACCTCAGGGTTTCATTTCCACATCTCTAAAATGGGCTTTTACAAGCTGTGCCTCCACCCAGGGGTGGTGGGGACAGTAGGGTGAGATGGTTCACACGGAGTAGGGAGTGTTCAGCACAGGGCCTGGTGTGCACGAAGTGCTCAGCATGGCAGGTGCTGCCGCTGTGATCTTCAATACCGTGGCTGTTATTAACCTTCTGGCGTGAACTTGGCCTCCTCGGTGCCCTGTTCTCAGCACAGGGGCAGGAGCCAGGATCCCTGGCCTAACTCACTGCATAAAGATGTTGGCGTTTGAACAACCTGCTTGTGTTTAATCTCGAACTACACTTGGTGCTCTGCTGTGTGTTTTCAGCCTTCAATTAACTGGCCGTTTCTCATTTAGCTCCTGTAGCCCTAAAAGCAAACGACGGGAAGAGAAGAAGCACAAAAAACAGTGAGTAGACAGACGCCCCTGGAGCACACCGTGCAGTTGGAGGGAGTGGAGGCCTGGCCTCTCTTCAGGGACAGGGGAGGGTAGGGGCGGTGGCTGAGGAGGGGGAAGGAAGAAAGAGAGGAGAGGGAGAGGGATTTCCATTCACTTGAAAGTGAGGGGTAGAGTATGCATGGATACACAGACTGTATATGTCACGTGTGTGTGTGTGTGTGCATGTGTGCTTGTAATGTCCAGTGTATATGTTTGTGCCTGAGGGGCTCATTCTATGTGTAATATGTATATACACCATGCCTATCTTTGTATAAGTGTAGTGTGCACATCACTTACAAATGTCTACATATTTTTATGCCACGCAAACATCCGTGCACATGGTCCACACAGTGCATGTAACATGGGCACGTCGCATGTAAGCATGGGATCTAGCTGTGTTCACGTGAATGCCCCCTGTGTATGAGCGTGGTGGCAAACAGCTCTCACAAACAGCCCTGTGGACTCATGTGTATGACTTCTGTTCACTCTGTGTGCACACTCTACGTGAACACTGTATGTCTGCATTCTGTGTGTTGGTGGTGGGGGGGGGGGGTATGGCAATCTTTACCTGTGCACATATCTGTGTGGTGTGTGCATGGATTGTGGGGTGTGATCGCATGTGTGCGTGGGTGAACACAAGCATCTACATGTATACTCCGGCTACTGGTTTCCATACTCTGGTTTACAGTACAGCACTCCCCGGGAGCCCCAAGTCTCGGGCCCAGCTGTCTCACAGTTTATAACTGGTAGTAGAAATTCAAATCAGCCAGCACTGCCTGTGGAGTTCAGTTCCCGATCAAATTAAAAGTAAATTTGGTTACAACCCACCTACTTTATACTCTGTGAACGTTAGTGCAATGTGTTTTCCAATCAACTAATATTTTATCTCCCGCCAAGAAGCATCTAAAGAGAGGATCAAAGACAATAGAATGAAAGGAAGCCAGCTTCTGAGGAGGGGAGAGATGAGGCAGGGCACAGAGGGAGGGCGCTCAGCGTGGCTGCCTCAAAGGGTCCCTTTACTCAAGGTCAGCACAGAGGAGGACATTTCAGTCAGCACCACAAAGACATGGGCCACGCTTTAAAGAGGAAGGAGGAGAGACTCCAGTAAGATCAGGGAGGAACTTCCCTATGGGCCGATTTGTTTAGATGAAGCCCATCAAGAGAACAATTATTAATTCCGTGACTCCCTCTGCGACCCCCTGAAGTTGGTCCTTTTGTGATCCCGTTGTGAGGATGGAGAAACAGAGGCACTGGACTAGTGACCTGAGTGTGTTGGAACTAGAAAGTTTGGCTCTGGAACTTTCACCCCTCAGCACACACTGTATGTTCTCAGATACCAGTAGCCTTGGGCCCGTCAGCCTCAAGAACTCTGGGAGCAATAATGATGGCATTGAGGTGGTCACCCTCTCCAGCAATTGTTAGCAGTTCATCATCAGAAAGCTGGGGCAAACCACACGAGGCAGGGCAGAGAGCAAGAATCCCAGGGGCTTCCGGGAAGCCGTGGGTTGTTCTTACCACGCTGGCCAAGAGTTAGCTTCCTTTCATCCGACATGCCTTCATGAGGCCCTGGCATGGTGGCAGTGAGCACAGGGGATGGTGTGGGTGAGTGGCAGAGAATGAACAGTGAGGACACCAATGGGCGGGGGGGGGGGGGGTTTGAGGGTGAGGGTGGCTTCCTGCAGGAGGGGATCCTAGGCTGCATGCTAGGGACATAGTTTCAACCCTCTGGCCTCAGTTTCCCCACTGTGCCATGGGGCTAGAGAGAGGACTCACCCTCGTCAGTCGTTGCAAAGAACAGCAGAATCCCTGGGAGGAAAAGGCTTAGAACGCAATGCCTGGGCTGAAGAATGTGTTAGATTGGGGTGATGCTGCCGAGGCCGTTGCCATCTGAGCCAGACCACGAGCCGAGTTACACATCTACTGTTGCTTGAGACTGGCGGGTCAGTGCTAAGCCAGATGAAGAACCAGGCAGAGCCAGCTTGGGGTTCAAGACCAGAGTATGGGCAGAGCATAAAGGCAGTGAGGAGGTCTTAAGCAGGGAATGGATACGGCCCGATAGCTGTATCAGAAGAATCTAATTCCTTCGCTGAGAAAAACAGGCAGGTTCCTGAGCCACCGACACTCCGCACACCCTCTGTTTTGTGTTTTTTGTTGTTTTTAGAGAGGGTCTTACTGTGTCACCCAGGCCAGCCTTGAACCAGTTTCAAGGCAGCCTCACACTCATGGTGGTCCTCCTGCTTCAGCTTCCCAAGCACTGGGATTGAAGCATGGGCGGCCACACCTGACTTCCTTTGATCATCCCTGGATGGATCATCCCAGGGTGGCAGGACTGTTAATGGCTTTGACTCCACGCTAAGGACATGACTTCACGTCCCAGGTCCAAGGTCACAAACTGGCCGCTGAAAGACCCAGTAGACTCTGCAAATAGTTTTGTGCCCACTGAAGGTTACCTTTGTGTTTTCAAGGAGTGTCTCTTTAAGAGAGGGATAGTTTACACTAAAGAGTCTGCATTTGTTTCTCCATGTGCTTGAAACAGCAGAGGGTCCAGCAAGGTTTGGGGGTGCTGGAGGCACAGCAGACCCTTTCACCTTCACGTCCAACTAGGCCGTGGGTCAGCATTTTGCTAGAACCCGGCTGGCCTTTGAAACTGAATGAAATGCAGATTCCTGACCTTGAGAAAGACAAGGGAGGCTTGGGGGCGGCTTCCTGCCTAGGGTGTGGTTTGTGCCAGGACTGCTTCTAGCATGAGGACACATCTCAAGGCAACTGTCATCCGCATTCCCCACAAAGGCCTCTTTCTACTTCCCTGCGCTCAGCCTAGTTGGGCAGAGAGCCCCTAAGATGCGGGCAGGAAGCTGGACTGTGAGGCTGGGAGACAAGTCCCTTTGGGAGTGACCTAGACTACTCTTGGGTGTGAATTCCGGGATTTGTGTATCACAAGATCAAAATGTCTCGCTCTCTCCTCTCCTCTCCTCTCCTCTCCTCTCCTCTCTTCTCCTCCTCTTCCTCCTCCTCCTCCTCCTCCTCTTCTTCTTCTTTTCTCTCTCTCTCTCTCTCTCTCTCTCTCTCTCTCTCTCTCTCTCTCTCTCTCTCTCTCTCTCTCTCTCTCTCTCTCTCTCTCTGTCTCTCTCCCACCCCCTTCCTTTTCTGAAGATCTCGAAGCCGGAAGTCTCACCGCCATAGACACCACCGCTGCCCCTCGAGGTCTCAGAGCTCGGAACTCCGCTCCTCCAGCTGCGAGAGCAGGTAACCCCTTTGCCCCTGCTGCACCACCTCATCCACCCGGCTTGACCCAGGTTCTGTGTCCCACACTAAGTGACTCCCTCGCTCTCCAGGCCAGAGTTGCCCCAGCTTGCTGTTCAGCAGCTGCAGGCAGAAGGGGCACAATAGTCGCCACCCTGGAACACAGGTTTGCTAAGTGCCTTTGGGGATGCCAGCTCCCACAACCCTCTCCACAGTCCCTTGAGGTCACTCCTATTGTCCCATTGTGAAAATGAGGAAACTGAGGCTTTAAGGAACTTGATACTTAGCAACTGAGTGATACAGCTAGCATTAAAACCAGGAAGTTTGGCTCTAGACTTCCCAGTCTCAGAACAGAGAAGCTGAGCCACCTATGAAAGGACACACAGCACCAAGTACCAGATTCTGAGGCCCTTCTGAGTCCATTTTCTCCTGACTCTGATGTCTCTTTGCGGATGCATGGGCCACCCTAATCAGAAAATGATGGGAGTGGAGTGCTCTTGTAGATGAGGAGAGAAAGAAGGTTTTGTGGATGAGAACATTTGGAATTGTTGATGTGTGGGAGGAGGGCCAAAGCGGGCTCCTGAGGTCGGGGGCTTCTCTTTTTTCAAGTGTTCATTCATAACACCCGGGGATGGGAATGTGGCAGGGCCTTACCTTGTTTCAATGGAAACAAGATGGCTGGAAGAGAAGGAAGCAGAGTGGAAAGAGGAGGATGAAGAGGAGGAGGGGAGGGGGAGAAATGTTTATCTTTGTACCAGGTTCTGGGCTGACTTCAAGCCCTTTCTCTCTGTGACCCCCATGATATTGTGAGCGTGATGATTTTCTGTATTGTCTGCACTTGATGGTCACCTCAGAACTGCTTTCAAAAAAAATTCTGAGTGTCTGCATCCCACCCCATAGTCACTGACTGCAGCTGGGAGAGAGAGAGAGAGAGAGAGAGAGAGAGAGAGAGAGAGAGAGAGAGAGAGAGAGAGACTGCAAAATTCCCCAGGGAATATGAACACAAAACAGGTGTGAGAAACTCTGCAGCTGACATGTCCCCTCCCAAGCCAACCTCGGTGTGTCTGCTGGACTCCAGCTGCAAATAGAACCACCAGGTGAAGCCCCACAGCGCTCTGATTGACCAAGACACACAAGACCCTTCCTGTCCATGTGCAAGGCAGAGCCCAAACGGGATGAGAACTTGTCCTCATCATACAAGCATCCAGGTCCATTCACTCCAGCTAGCGTGAGTGGAGGCTGCTTCCTCCATGATCACAGACTTAGCCTCAATCTAGTCTGCTCCCATTCAAGGTTGTCTGAGTGCCTCATCCTGCTTTCTGACAATATTCAGCCCAGAGCAATGCCTCTGTCACTTTGTGAACCTCCTCATACCACCTGCCACTTGCCACCAATGCTGTCTGACAAGTTCAGAGAAAATGGTTCTTAAAGGTGAAAAATCCTGCCATGGTTTGGCCACTTTTAAGCTATGTGACCTGGGCAAGAGTCTAAATATCTCTGAACCTCAGCTCTCCCATCTGTAAAATAGGAAAGTAACACCTGTAGCATGAATCTTAAAAGTTCTTATTAATAAAATCAAACCTGAGCCAGGTATTGGAGTGAAGCTGGAATATCAGAGAGACAGAGCAAGCCACAGCTAACCTCACCTGGCCAACTTCTCAGCTGATCTTGTTTCCTCAGACTGGAAGCTTCTGTGTCCTCATATCTGAATGGCTCTCAGCTGAACTGTGCTGCTCAAAACCTAAAAGCTTAACCAGCCAAATGCTTAACGAGCCAAATGCTTCTAGTTTCTGGTCCTCACGCCTTATATACCTTTCTGCTTTCTACCATCTACCTGGGATTAAAGGCTCAGCTTTCTGGGATTAAAGGCGTGAGTCACCATGCTTGGCTGTATCCTTGAACAGATGGATTTCTGCCTCTGGAATGCTAGGATTAAAGGCGTGTGCTACCACTGCCTTTCCAAAGTATCTAGTGGCTTTTCTGTTCTCTGACCCCAGATAAGTTTATTAAGGTACACAATATTTTGGGGAACACAATACCACTACAAACACCTGCCCTGTCTATGTCTTCAGGATTCAGGGAGGAGTGTGAGGGATTTCCAGGTGACTGCAAATTCATATAGTGTTGTTTGTGTTTACAACTATAACTCAGAGAGTTCACATGTGGATATTCTAAGGGATCAGACATGCTTCTGGTTTCTACAGCAAACAAGATAAATGTTGATTACACAAGGTGTCTCTGTCATTTTTATCAGACACATTTCTCTCAATATTGTGGGTGATACTCAATAGAATGACTCCATCTCACAAATGGTAAAGTCACATACACAAAGACACATGGGTATGCATGGGAACATAGATAGGCATGCTCAAACATGCAGTATCATGAGACAATCAGCACACGAGGGACATTAAACCAGATCAAATAATGGACCTCTTTTGTCATCATGGCTACACCCATAAATATTTGATAAATGAACAAATAAAGAATGACTGAATAGACAGGAGAGGGATAGATGGATAGATAAATAGATAAATGATAGATGATGGATAGATGGATGGTGGGTATATGGATGAATCATTGGATGGGTAGATGGAGAGATGGATGATGGATGGGTTAGTGTTGGGTAAGTTGATAGAGGAGTAGACAATGGATTGATGAGTAGATAGAGGAATAGAGGATGGATGGATGGATGGATATGGATGAGCTGATGGATGGATGATGGTTGGGTAGGTGGACTAGTGGATGAACAGATGAGTGGTTGGTGGGTGAGTGGGTGGGTGGGCATCTGGGTGTATGGGTGGATGAGTGGATGAGTAATGAAGGGTGGATGGAATGTGCAAACACACAATCCAGCATTCTTATGTACACAGACATACCCAGGGACAAAATCATACAAACATACACAATCATACTCTGTCATTCTCAGATGACATGCTGGTGGCCCAGCCACCTCTCCACCAGGCTCTCTTCTGAAGGCCTTCAGGTATCTCTTTCTTGCTCTCCAGGCACCGAGGTCGGTCTCCTGAGGAAGGGCGGAAATCCCGCCGAACACACTCCCGCCACTGCTCTAAGAACCACTGCAAGGTCAGCCCAGAGGCCCGGTCCAGCCACCTGCCCAGCCAGCCCCTCCAGAGGCTTGGCTTCCTGTCAGCCAGGGGTGTAGTAAGTATTCCTTACATCCCCTCTGCCAGCCTTGCCATGACTCTTGTGGGGGGTGGAGGTCCAAGTTCAGGGCAGTGTACACTACCTTTTAATTCAATGTTGGATAAAATTTCCCACTCGCTCCAAATCTCATTATTGATTAACCAAATGGTCATTCACCAGCCTTTGACAGCACTCTGCTTGGAAACTTGGGAGGCAGAGAAAGAAAAACTAAAATACTTAGGCTCGTATTTCTGGGGGTGGGGGGAGTGTTGAAACACAGATACTGGCTTCCAGATGACATGTGTGAGAGGTGTCTTGGGGTGGGCAGAAGAAAGGGGCCTTTGACATGGGAAAGGCACTTTTATATTAAGTCTGTATCTCTTACACCAGCTGGCTGGCGGCACTGACTGACAGCTGGGATCTGATTCCTCCTGTTAATTTGAGCTTGACCTGTGTCTTCTTATGTGTTTGCACACAAAGTCTCAGGTGTTGAGGGCTGAGTTCCTGTCACTCATCCCTCTTGCACATGGGGGCAGAAACATCAAAATTCAGAAAGGTTAGGCTCTGGGGCAAAGTCACAGAGTGAGACATTGGTGAATCCAACTTAGTGACCCAGCAATGAAGAAAAGCAGAAAAACCCTCCCTGGGGTCGACAGAAAGTAATTGGTGTGTGACCTCGAACGCTGTGGTGTGGGAGGGATCTGAACTTAAGGCCTGGCTTCATGTCTTCCTAGCTGGTCCAACTGTACCACCTCAGTTTTTTCTCACTAAGTAACACGAGGCACTGATTCCATTTGAGGTGGTTGGAACCATTCAATAAGAGGAAGTATATATAAAGGCCTTTTGTGGACTCTGAGGGGGTAAACAGGATGAGAGTCAGCCTTGACATGTCACAAGATTGGAGCCAGCAGCTACATGAGAACTTGAACATCCAAAAAGGCATTCCCCTTAGTAAGGGTGAGGTAGAAACAAGGAGTTCAGGGGTCCTGTGGGAAGGTCAGTGGGGGAGGTGACAATAAGCAGCACCGTGGCCTGGTTGACACAATTGGTATTTCCAGTATGTTGTGGAAAACTCTTCTCCACACCAAGGTACCTTGTGTCACCAGGGTCTAATTTTGCTCAATCTCATGTATGTCTGGCTGTGCTCTTCCTAAGTACCTCCTTCTCAAGATGACTGTGAGAACGTGCAGATATCAGGCCCTGCCCACACTCTCTCATTCCCTAATGTCCTAAATCTCCTGTGCCATAAAGATACAGAGGCCAAGGTCGGAGTCTTGACTAACCAACTCACCCATCTACCTCCACCAAGCCTCAGCTTCCTCAGCTGGGAAATGGGTGTGATTACTTAATTTGTAGAAAAACTGTAAGTAAATCTGAATGATGTGCAGTAAGAGGCAGAAGAGTGTTCCAGAGTTAGCTATGGCTGCCCATTCTCTCATGTACTAGTGCCTGTGGTAGCTTACCTAGAAGCTTCAACTGACCTTAGCTACAATGGGCCAATGGTGACACCTGATTTATACTCCCTCACCTGCCTGGAATGGTTTCCTAAGAAGCTCACATGTGTGAAGATGCTGCTGAGAACTACATCTGTCTTCCCTCCCTTACCAGTAATGTTAGCAGACTGGCTCTTGACAGTGTCTTTCCCAGAACACAGGCTCTTGGTGGCAGTGAGGTGTAATGCTCCATGTCCCAAGGAGCCTCCTTGCCCACACCTATCAGGAGAACCAAAAGCCAGGCCTTATCTTTGTATGCAAGGAAGAGGCCTTAAGAGCTCACCTCTTTCCCACTGCCTTGGTTATTAAGAACAAAAGTATAGATATGTAAGAGAGTAATGATGGCTTTGGCAAGGTGAGGTTGTTAAAAAAAAAAAGCAAGGGAATATGATTGTGCAACCAAATCCTTTATAAGCTCAGAGTTCACATATATTCATATATGCATGTATACATGCATATATACAGTCACACATACATACATTCATATATACAATACATGCTTGCATGTATGCGTTGCATTGCATATATACAATCTCTTCTTCAAAAAGATAATCATTGAGCCCAATGCTTGGTCCAGGGACAAAACTCCAATAACGTTCTAGATCTCGTCTATGGAACTTTGGACTCATCACATCACCTCTCTGTGTCTCTGTTTCCTCGAATTTTGAAAAACAAGGCAACTAGTGAGACCTAGTTCATAAGACCGTCCTGGGGTCACCATGACTAGCTGCGAGTAGACATTTTAGAATGCAGTTGTATGTGGCAAACACTGTGTGATGCTTGTTGCTGGTGCTGGCAGTATCGTAGGTACAACAGCAGAGGAGGTAGAGGACATAGCAGAGGTCACAGTAATAACTAAAGTGTAGTTCCCAGTGTGGGTAAGTCAATGGGTAAAACAGGGACAAGAGTCAGGGTCCTGCTTTCTGGAGAATTTTCTTTCCATCATAAATAGTGGCTGTGTCCAATATGGCTACACTCATCTTGGTTGAGGTTCTGGGGTTTTGTGGCTCCTCAGAGTATTACTCCACTCCAAAATCTGATTCCATGTTCCCTCCATTCTTGGCTTCTCCATCACAAAGGTAGAAATAAGACAAGATCCCAGGTGCACCACAGACTTCCAAAGAGTTCTAGCCCCAAGACTTTTCTTTGCTAGACAGAACAGCAGAGGCATTTGCACTGAATCACTATCAATCATTCCTTCAGGTCTATCCACACCTACTGAGCATCTATTAAAGGGTTGAACTTGAATTTGTCTCTGGAGATGAACAGAGAAGAGAGTCTGTGCCTGCTAAGGGGGAAGGCTGACATGAAAGGGCATTAGGATTAGGGCAGGTAGAGAATGTAATGAAGACCCAGAAAACTAAATATGAGCAGGATTTAGCCAATGAAAAGGAAAACTGAAGATTGGAGGTGGAGTTTGAGATGGAATTCTAGGACAAGACACAGGATGTTAGAGATGCGCCGGTGGCCTCCTGTGCCCCAGGTCCCACTGTCCCATACACAGGGCTCTTTTGGAAACATCAAGTGGGTGTGCATGACATCACAAGAGGTGCTTGGCAAATATGACTATGCAAATGAAGGCCTTGACGCTGAACTGGATCCTGGTTGGTTAAAGATGACCAGAGGCTCTCTTGCTTGATCCCTGAGAGTCTGGAGGAGGCAGCAGTCAGCGTGATTAGAGCAGGATCGTGGCTGTGGGCACCAGTCCGTATCGAAAGACTATGCTTATTGAAACAGTCAAATGATTACACACAAATTGGTAAATAGGTTATTTTACCTCCTCATCTCATCTCCAGTCTGCCAATTATCCCTTCCCTCCCCTGGTACCTTCAGGACCACTACAACATAATAGCTCTCAGCGCCAAGCTGCCTTCTGATGGGGTATACTTGACACTCAAGCAGTTGGTGACTGTCCTGAGTCTCCTTCACAGTAGCGGTAGGAGCAAACACAATGTGTCCTGGAGGCATCAGACACTTCCGTCTTGATGTCTGAGCAGGCTTTATGATAAGAAGATATTTGAGCTGGGCACTGAAGGGTGGGTAGGAGTTTATCAATTTGAAATGACTCGTATATAGAAGTAAATGGGATATCATTCTATGTCAGGCACATACTTTGCATAGTCAACATCATCCCCATTTTGCAGATGAAGGAAGTGAGGCTCTGAGAGGCACAATGACCTAGGAAGGTAACACAATTTGGAGGGAAGAGAACCGGCAGAGACCATATGCCTTCGAAGCTTACTCTGTCCATCAGCAGAGGATGGACAGGGGGACAGGGATGCTGTTGGCCCCCAGTGCTTGGTGGAGGCTTTCTTTCTCTGTGGACGTTCTCCATCAAGTCTCTCGTAACTAACTGCAGAGAGAATCTAGAATAATAAGGAGTGAATCAGAGCCAAGGAGAAGGGCAGGCCACCTCCTCCCGCCTCCTCGTACCGTAGTCAGGGACAAGAGCCGTCGGTCATCTATCACGTCTGTGCCAACTGCTGCGCAGATGCCAACAGACAAAAGGAGAATGCGGTACCTGTCAAAGGCAGTTTCACAAAATTTGTAAACTGAGGAAGGCAAAAGGGTGTCTGTGATTAAAACGTGGGCTTTGGAGAAGTTCTCATCTCCCTGCGGTATCCTGGATAACATCGGTAACTAAGGTTCTCTGAGCACCTAGTATGTGCCAGCTCACTGCCTCGTGTTCTCATTGTGTCTCTTCAAGAGGACACAATGAACACTGTGGACTAGAAAGAGCAGACAAAGCCAGCTACTTGTAGAAGCTCAAATTTGAAGCCAGAGGGTCTGATCAGGAGACCCTCATGTGCTTAATTACATGTAAATATCATCATCTGTAATTTGTGGTAATTATTTTAACCTATTTACATGGTTGTGGTGGTAGATTGTATCCCCCGATATATTGTGCGCCCCAATAAAGTTTATCTGAGGATCAGAGGAAAAAGCCAGCCACTATATTAAACATAGAAGTCAGGCAATGGTAGCACACACGCCTTTAATCCTAGCATTCAGGAGGCAGAGATCCATCCAGATCTCTGTGAGTTCAAGGCCACACTGGAAACAGAGTCAGGCATGGTGACACACTCCTTAAGTTCCAATAGTAGTTAACCATAAAGGTCTAGAGGTCTGTACAGACAGAAAGACAGACAAAAAGGAAGTGATAGAGCTGGGCAGAAAGAGGAAGTGATATAGCTGGGCAGAGAGAGGAAATGAGATGGCAGAACAGAAAGGCATATAGGCATGGGTATATAGGAAGCAGATCTTTTTTTGGAGCTGAGGAGTTGGTGAGGTGAGGTTGTCTATGGCTTGTCCTGTTCCTCTGATCTCTCAGATAAGGTTTATTAGGGTGCACAATATATTGGGGGACACAATATATCACCACACATGGTCAATATGATGGTGACATGAGACAAGGCATCTGTCCACTTATTTAAATATGAACTAAAAGCAGGAGAGGCAGCTCCGTCAGTTACCCAAAACTTAGGTTTGGATCCCCAGCACTCACATAAAAGCCAAGCACAATGG